GGTGTTGTTGTAATAAAGAAAATTTAACCAATATTATTGAATATAATACAATTTCTAAAGATATGCAAAAAATTAAAGAATCCTACTTAGAACTTAATAGACACATTCGACCTCCTCTTTTTGATATGATTCTGATTAAATATTGGGTATGTGATAGTTTACATGCTATGTTAAGAATAAGTAACAGACTCTGTGAATTATTTTTATCAGACCTTCAACGTGGTCAATTAAATGAAAATTTGCAAAATTTGATTTTAACTGAAATGAAAAGGCTACGAATTAATTATTTTTATTTTTGGATTGAAAATATAACACAAAGTTTATCTTATACGTCATTAATAGGTCCCGATAAACTTAATATTTTGGAAAATTTTGATTTTACTAATTTTATATCAAAGGAATTTTCTCAAGAATGTGCTATTAAACTTCACCAACTCTGGACTGGCTTTTTTGAATTATATAAGATGATGATGCTACTAAATATAACGAGATCAGAATTTAAAATTAAAACAGAATCATGGTTAAAGTTATTTTTAGAACCATCTAAGGGATAACCGAATCGACCAAATTTTACTCGTGGAATATATCGGGTAAATATATATCTATTTTTTTTTTTGTCTTAGAATTTTATAAATACAGTCACATCCCTCTAAGTGTATCCCATTAGGACCATAGTAAAAAAAATTAAAATTTTGCACTTAGAGGGTGTTTGCATTTATAAGGAGTAAAATATATAGAATTTTTATTTAGAAAGGTTTTACATCGTTCACAACTGTATTATGTAATGTTTACTTAAAAGTTTTTGTTTATACAAACAAAAAGGTAGCTAACACTACGCCATACATACATGTGTTAATATCTCATGTTCATGAATTGATTGACATTCATCAAGAATTTGGAATAGCCACTTTTAATTGCTCAGCCATTGAGAAAAAAAACCATCTTCAAGTTTGTTGCTATTTTCAATCTACACTTAAAGATGGTGGTCATGAAAACAATAGACTATCATGCATTCTTGAATTATTAGACCACGAAAACTGAGAACTATTTTTTTAACTTTTTGAAGTGTTAAATTACTTTAAAAAAAGTATATCCTATAGATTAGAAAATTAGTTTATTATATCTTACTTTTTGAATCTAATACTGTTAATAACTAATATAGTTTTCTAGTAGCAAGGATTTATAAAAATCAGGTTAGTTAGAGAATAGCTTCTTTTTACTTACGTATTACATATATGAGAATAACCATTACTAAATAAAATAAAGTAATGATCACTATTAATACTTTGAAAAGTGTGTAGGTTAGATTTTAAATTAATAGCTTAGATTTGCCTAATATGTAGGTATTTTTTTTTTAGAGGTCTTGCATGTAAAAATGCCAATTAAAAATAATTTATTATAATATTCTATAACACTTTTTTAGTTGATATTAGAAATTATCTGGTATTATATTTGATTAAACTAAATCTAATGTAGAAATATAGCTAGTCGTATTACAAATAAATTACATACTATAAGAATAACAAGTATCTTGCGAAATATTAGCTTACAACCTTTTTTTTTTTTCTACATGCCTTTATAGTCAATCGACCTCTTTTTGTCACGAATGTCAGTTGTCACAACCTCACCTAAAATAAGAAAATTTTAATGAATAATAGCATTAGATAACATTAAAGAAAAAGAATTCTTTTATTAAAATACCTAAACTTATTAGAACTCATTCATTTTGTCCATGTATGAAATGAATAAGGTAGTCAAACTATATATAATCACTAATTATATCAATATCTTAATGTTTTCTTAATAAAAAGAAAAAAAGAAAACAAAAGCAAAAATTCATTCCACATCAAAATGTAAATATTCTTTAAAATAAATTTCTGAAGTCATTATTCTCGAATACTATATTAATAGCATTAGATAAGGCCATGCAAAATTATATACCATAGTGTACTGACCAAAGTATCACTATTTTCAGTATCCTCTAGTTAAAATATTCAGGTATTTTGCATAGCATATTTTTTTAACCAGAAATAATACGGGTACTTTGCAAGGTATTTTTTACACCACCACATATTGATTTCCGCATTGTATACATGTTCATACAAAATACCCCCATACAATATACCCAGTGTTGGGCGGACCAGACCAATTTGACTATTTGACCAGACCAATTTGACCAATTTGACTGGTCCGGTCAAAGGATCTGTACTGGTCAAATTGGTCAAATAGAATATTTAAATATATAATATATTTATTATATTTATATAATAGGCTTGACCAATTTGACTAGTTTGACCAATTGACCAATTTGACTAGACCAATTTGACTAGCAAATTTTTGGTCGATCACTAATTTGCCCAATACTAAATATACCCATTAACGACTAAACTAATAAAAGGATTTCTACCTTACAATATTAAGTAATTATTATAGTATACCCTCCAAATTTATTTATAACAGTACTGCTAAAAAGAGCCATAACCAGTAATGTTATAGAAATCTTAAGGATAATATCATATAATGGGCCTTTTTAAAGTGAATTTACTAGTAGATTTGTAGGTACAAATTTTGTATTATAATATATTGTATTAACCTATACATGTGCACTAACTTGGAAGTAAAATAAAAAATATATTACGCGATAGAATAAATTTAGAAGCTCTCATAATATATTTTTTATTTTATTTCCAAGTTAGTACACATGTATAGGTTAATATAATACATTATAATACAAAATTCATACCTACAAATCTACTAGTAAATTCACTTTGAAAAGGCCCAATATTGGGCTTTTTCAAAACGAATTTACTAGTAGATTTGTAGATATGAATTTTGTATTATAATGTATTATATTAACCTATACACGTGTACTAACTTGGAAGTAAAATAAAAAATATATTATGAGAGCTTCTAAATTTATTCTATCACATAATATATTTTTTATTTTACTTCCAAGTTAGTGCATGCGCATAGGTTAATACAATACATTATAATACAAAATTTGTACCTACAAATCTACTAGTAAATTCACTTTGAAAAGGCCCATTATCATAAAGATTCTCAACACAATACAATACTGGTATTATGGATACCGCCCTTTTACTTCGGATCTACTAGACCTTAACATCAAGCAATTATAATACAACTCTAAATTTATTTATACATCATTACAAAGAGTATGTTATTATATTTTATGAAAGTAAGCGAATTTATTTTTTATACAAATAAGTGACATATTTTGTTTACATTAATACATTAACGCTTTCCACATGCATTACATAGACCTATTGCTATTAACATTAAATACTGGAGATTGTTCTCTTTCCCTATTAGTATTGCTATTAGTATTAGATACTGGGGATCATTCTCTTCCCCTATTAGGACGGTATAACATAGCGGTTACTTCTTCATATGAAGGAGGTAGAGTACGATTTATACGACTCTCATGTCTTCTTTGAATTTCTAAATTTGTATTCCTGATTTGATTAAACTGTGTAACTAAAAAAATACAGAAATAATAATAATTGAGTTTAGAAATATAATTAATTATATAGTCAGACCTTCATAAGTGCACTTCTATAAGTGCATACCCTCTATAAATGCACTATAAGGTCCGGTCCCAAGCTGGGACCATAGTGTTAAGTGCACACTCTCTATATTCTGCACATGCATTTGATTTTGCTATTAAGGTACTCTCCATAAATGCACTATCACGTGATTACAGATCGTCTTAACCAATAAAATTTGAACAACTTGCAATCCGATATATAATCGGGATTTATGCAAATAAATGTGAATACTAAATAGAGCATAGGTCGAAAATACAATAATATTATATAGAACAATTGGTAATAAGCTACCGGAAATTACAGACTTTTTATAAGGATCATCAAATAAACTTTAGAAATGGTTCTATATAAAAGCAGAATCAAGTAAAA